GGCCACAGTGTGCCTCTCGCCTTTTGGGAACTGGAAGTAATAAGCTATCTTTTCAACGGCAGTCTTCTCCGGATCTGTTCGCCTCACCATACCTGAATAAAAATAAAATCTACATGTTAAGACATAAATGCATTAAAGAAGTTGTGGTGAATACAGAGAGCAGTCATCTCTAGGCAGTGCTGCTGGAGAGACTGCTACCTCTGAGTGGGGAGGAGAGGCCACGTATTACACTATGAACTGTTTGGTTTATTTTTATAATAGGCATATGTTACTTGCATGCTTTAAAAGATAGAATATTTTAAAAATCAACTCTCTCTGTCTCCTATACAACCACCGTAGGCCAGGCCGCCATATTTTTGAAAAAACAATTCATTTTTGCTTTTTGTGTGATAAGAACACAGTATGAGCTCTATCCTCTTAAAAAAATTAAGTGTACAATTCAGTATTGTTAACTGTGGCACGAAATTGTACAGCACATCTCTAGAATGTACTCATCTTGCGTAACTGAAACTTTATACCTGTTGGCTAGTGACTTTCCATTTCTCCTTCTCCCTAGCCCTTGGCTGCTATGACTCTGACTATTTTAAATGCCTTGTACTAGAGGAAAAAGTTTTCCTTGGCCTTTTTAATGTCCGTGGTTGGGTCTGAAAATTAAACTGAAAGGGTTGGAGTAACAGGATAAAAGCCCACGAATTTATTTAATGTAAGTTTTACATGACGTGCCTGGTTTTTAACTTCTACCCCTATCCCATTAGGTCGAGATTTTTTGACAAATATCATGCAGAAATGCCTTTCTCCTGAAAAAAGGAAATAATTTTAGAATTTGACAATGATAACCAAAATAGCCAGTCCAATGGGTCAAATGAATCCTCTTTGATATCATTTATTTGCTCTGTCTCTGACAACACAAAAGCAGATGTCAAAGATTCTAACTATTCACCCCTCTTGGGCCAAATGCCATCATCTCTATGGATGAACTCATCAGATATTGACAGAACCCACAGTGCTCCTCCTGTCAAAATCCAGATTGATCAAAGACAAATACTGTATGATATCACTTATATGTGGAATCTAAAAAATAAAACATATTAGAGAATATAACAAAAAAGAAACAGACTCACTGATATAGAGAACAAATAGTGGTTGCCAGTGAGAAGAGGGAAGGGAGGAGGGGCAAGGTGGGAGTAAGGGATTAAGAGGCACAAACTACTATGTATAAAATAAATACACTGCAAGGATATACTACACAGCACAGGGAATATAGCCAATATTTTATAATAACTATAAATGGAGTATAAACTTTAAAAATTGTGAATCACTATGTTGTACACCTAAAATTTATATAATATTGTAAGTTAACTATATCTTAATTAAAAATAAAACAAAGTGATGGCTAAAAAAATCCAAATTGAACCCTCAAAGACTCTCCCCAGAATTAAACAATACCCTATAAAGAGAGCTTATAGGGAATCAGACCAATCACAGAGATTATAGAGCCCAGGGGTTTACAATCCCTTGTATCAGTCTCTGCAATACGCTCACACCTTATCAGCTCCCATCTCTACTGAAAGGAAGTTCTTCACTGTGATTGATTTGTGTAGTGCCTTCTTTAGCTTCCCCGGAGACAAGGTCTGTCAATACCTCTTTGCCTTTAGTTGGAAAGGATAACAATACACCTGAACAGTAATGCCCCAGGTTTAGCTAGAAGCCCTTTTTACTTCTCACAAACCTTAGAAGCTTATTAGATGATGTAAAGTTTCCTATTACAATATGTAGATGACTTGCTTCTCTGCTCCCCTTCCTAGGCCTCCTCACAGGAAGATGGCATCCCCCTGTTAAAGCTTTTAACCTCTAAGGAAAAGCTACAGTTCCAACTCGCATTTGCTGTTTAGGACATCTGATTTCAGAACAAGGACTACACGTAGATCTAGACAGGCTTCACAGCATCCTGAACTAAATGCCCCAAACTAAATGCCAACTATGAGGCTTTCTTGGCTTAGCTGACTATTGTCATAACTGAGTTCCAAATTTTCCTCTCATGGCTCAGACCCTATATATATCTTGTTGAAAAACATAAGCCTGATCCTATTATTTGGAAAGATCAGGATGATGTAGCTTTTAAAACCCTGAAGGAAAGATTAATGAATCCCTCTGCCCTTGGACACCCTAATTACCAACTTCCTCATTTCCTCTAAGTCTATGAAAAGCAGTGAAATGCCCTCAGGGTGCTTATTCAAAAGCACAGAGACTGCCATCACCCAAAGGGTACCCCAGCTAGACCCTGCAGCACAAGGATACCCCCTTGCCTCTGAGCCATTCCTGACTCTGCTCTTTTAGTCAAGGCCACCAAAAAACAGTCATGGATTCCTCTCTGACCATCTTTGTTCCTCATGCTGTTGAAAGCCCTTCTGGATTCCTATCATACCCAACACCTTTCAGCAAGACTCCTTACTCCCTATGAAATTCTCCTGTTGACTGCACCCCGCATCACTCTTGCTAGCCGTAATAACCCTAACCTTGCCACCCTTCTTCCTTCCTCTATGGGCAAAACTCCTCATGACTGTTTAACTGTGACTCTTGACTCCCCATTATGATTTGTAAGGAACCCCTTTATCAAACGGTGATATTTCATGGTTTACTGATGGTTCTTTTTTAAAAGATGAAAATGGTAACTATTGTCTTGGGTGTGCAATTACAACTTCTTTTGAAGTCACCAAGGCAGCAGTATTGCCTTTGGCTATGTTGGCACAAGAGACTGAATTATATGCTCATACTCAAGCCTATATTTCAGCCAAGAGAAAAACAACAAACACGTATACAGATAGTGGATACACCATCAGAGGAGCCCATGAGTTTGGAATATTGCAGAAGCAGCAAGGTTTCCTTACATCTAATGGGGATAAAGTTTAAAATGGCCCAGAGAGTCAAGACTTGTTAGACGCCATACATCAACTAGCCACTCTGGCTATCATTAAAGTTCTGGGCATCCCAAACTTGACTCCTGGGAAGCTAAAGGGAACCACCCCGCTGATATCTCCATTAAAAACACTGCTGTCACAGCAACCAACAACCAAACCTCCAATAAGGTGTTCCCACAAATGATAATCTAGAAAAATTGACTTGAGGTGCCCAACAATTGGCCCTAGAAAAGGAAAAACAATATTGGAAAAAGCTAACCACTATTGGTTCAGTAAAAAGAGAGGGCTCTGGTTTGCACCAAATGATGACCAGTCCTGCCAGTCTCTAAAATTCCTGTTACTGACTACAGTTGACTCTTGAACAACACAGGTTTGAACCGCAGGGGTCCACTTATACACACAGGGTTTTTCTGGATAAATACATACTACAGCACTACACAGTCTGCGGCTGGCGGATGCAGAACCTCGGATACAGAGGGCCGACTAGAAAGTTATATGAAGATTTTCAACGGCACAGAGGGGTCGGTGCCCCTAACCCTCATCACGTTGTTCAACTGTACTGCATGTGCATTGGATCATTGGTCTACTGATAAAAACATAAGCCTTATAAATCAATATTGGTGGGAAAATATCAATAAAGTCATTTAAAGTACCTACTTTGTTTGCCACACCCACTTAAAATACAATCCTGGGAAACCTATCCTTACTAGCTCAGGACACTTTAAATTACCCAATAGACCACTTGAGGTTGGCAAATGGATTTCCTACAGCTTCCCCATCTCACAGCTCTAAATGTTTTGGTGGTGGTTTGTCTATTTTCTCACTGAACTGAAGTTTCCCCTCATAGATAGGCGACTGCCTCTTCTGTGGCTAAAATTCTATTAGAAAAGACTATCTCCACCCAGTGAACCCCACCTCGAACTTCATAGTCACTGGGGAACTCACTTCACCACTTTGGGTGCTTTAACAAGTCTGTGCTGTCTGGCCGGTTTTACAGCACTTTCACTGTACTTACCAGCCAGAATCCTCAGGGCTAGTTGAACTCATGAATGGCAGCATCAAGACTCTACTGGTAACATTTGTAGAGACTCTTCAGATACCCTGGCCAAAGACACTGCCATTGGTCCTTCTCAATCTTAGGTCTATCTACCCTTTTTGCAACCGATAAATTCTCACCCTTTGAGGCAGTCACAGGATGCCCAATACACCTAGCTCCTGCTTCTTGTGATCTAGGGGTAATAAAAGGGTATATACTTCAATATTGTACAGACCTAATTGTTTCTATTGAACATAATTATGATTTAGTAGAACAGTCTTTTCACAGCATGCTCCCGGGAGACAAAGGCCTTAAGCATCATCCTTTACAACCGAGATATTTCGTCTTTTGGAAGAGACATCTTCAAAAAGATTCTCCCCAACCTTGCTGGAAGGGCCCTTACCAACTGTTGCTAACCAACCAGTGTGCTGCCAAGATCCAGGGAATAGATTCTTGGATCCATGAATCACATCTAAAGAGAGCACCAAACCCTGACTGGATCTGCATACCAACTGGTGACTTAAAAGCAAAGGTTTCCAGGAATTGAAACAGGTGACAGCTGAAGGAGACAGCTTTCCCAGGGTGACATTTTCCCCATGTTCCTCACCTTATCTTCTCCTGTCCTTTCTTAGAAAGACAACACTCTTAGGGTTGGGTTTGCCACCAGAAACTCCAATCTGCACACTACAGCGGTGGCTCTCTAGTCCGTACTGTGATGACAGTTTCATTTGACACTGATGCCACTGCTAACTTCACTCCACTTCACCTCAGCATTAGCTACAGAGTGCAACTTCTGTCAACATCCCTCCCCATGTCCTGTTTCTTCCTGAACACCCCCACCAACTATAGCAACGATAGTCCAGTCCAGATAGACTTAAAATTATGACCCCACTGCAACCACCCCACTCACACCCTTACTTTTATCACCTTTGTCCAAAAAGCAACTTGAGCTCGAGTGCCCTATCACGTCAGAGAATGGTCTTTTCTTAGAAGAATCCTCCCAGAATGCTCTCAAACATCACTGACCCCTGGTTGACTAATGCCAATAGTTCCATCCCCACAAATACACTAATAAACAGTGACCCTTCAGCTGGAGTCCTTCGTGCTCACCTGGCTTCATCTTCACTTGTGGAGGACGGCATCCTCCCTGGGCTCACAGATGTCTAGATAGCTAGTGAGTGGGAGGATAATGCTCATTAGGGTATCCAGTTGTTCCACTGTCCATTCATAATCCATCTGAAACCAACCCTCAAGCCCACATCGAAGTACCTAATGTTAACGACCTGATGGGGCCCATGACTCTGGGTTTGCCTTCTTGGGCAGATCCTGCCTCCTTCCCTGGCTGGGGGTACACACCAGGGAGCACATGATCAGAAATCCATCTGTTACCCTAGGCAACACAGCTGACTGCGCCACTAAAGCAACAGCTGCCCAATAACAGTCTTAGATTCTGTCAACTTTAGTAACATAACAGTCAGTTACTTTGCCAGCAAAAACAGTTTTATTTGAGAATGGCCACAGGAATTACAATTCAGGATATGCGAACTATGGTGGATCATAGGCAAATCCAGAGAACAAGGAAGGTGACTTTGCTTTTATAGGGAAGAGGTGGCAGGGGGAGTTGGGAGGCATTGTAATAATGAGAGTTCATTGGAGGAAGGTGGGAATCCAAAGTATGGAGGCTTCTCATTGGTCAGGCAGCTACAGTCTGATTGGCTGTGCTGTCATCAGAGAGTTTTCTTCTCCCTGCTGGATAGTAGAGCAGGCAACACCTTCCTGTCTGAGATGTCAGTGTCTGCCTCTTGCTGTTTGGAATAACTGATGATTGGTGGGGTTTGGGGGGGAGCTCCCCATACAGGCCTGTCTTAGCTCCAATTTTAGCTGAGGTTTCTTTAATTTCATAATTCCTTAGCTAAAGTGGTAATAAATAACCAAATTGCCCTTGGCTACCTCCTAGCAGAACAAGGTAGTATATGCTGGCAGGAAACACTGCTTGTTGCACATGGATAAATTCCCCTGGGGAGAAAGAAACTCAATTACATAAAATCAGGAAACGAGTACACTGGTTACAAGTTTCATCCAATTGCCCATGGTCCTTCAATCTGTTCAGCTGGCCGCCTTCAAGCCTAGATTCATAGTTCAGGACAGTTATCCAAACTGGATTTGTCATATTACTTTTAATTTTGCTTTGCAAAATCATTTTTAAACTTTGTATCTTTTGCCTGTCAAATATCTTCAGAAATGATGCACCAAATAGAATGATGTGATGTTAGCTCAACGCTTTGAGATGATCTCCAAGGCTTACAACCTTGAGAAGACATGAACTTAAGATTGGGAGATGCCTGAGCCCCCTTCCTATTACCTTCCTTGCTCAAATGTGGCCCCTGTGGTTTCCAAATGCTACTTGCTCTTTCCCCCTCAGCATAACTCCCAGGAAAGCTCCCTCCCAGCCCTGAGGGACACACACAGGCAAAAACATTTCAACCAAAATAAACAACCTGATGCTGCATCAGAGATGTTTTTCGAGAAAGATCTTGAGCAAAACAGAGAAGTGTGAAAATGGATAAAGCAAACCTGATTTTAAATGGAGTTGTTGGGGGAGGGTGTAGGTCAGTGGTAGAGTGTGTACTTAGCGTGCATGATGTCCTGGGTTCCATCCCCAGCACCTCCATTAAAAATTAATAAATAAAAACCTAATTACCCCCCCACCCCCGCCAAAAAACAAACAAACAAAAATGGAGTAGGGACGCCGAGAAGGGAGTGTTCTTACCCCTGGCCTCAGCTTGTACAGCCAGCAGGAAGAAAGGCTTCCCAGTAACGGCAAACTGACCATCACTTGTAACCGATGTGAAACTGCAACAACCCTGAACTCTTGTTCTCCTCCAATGACCTTTTGTTCAAAACAACGCTCCCCAGTTTCCTCCCAGAACCGAATAAAAGCCACCCTTCCCTTTGCTCCTCACACTTGCCTACAGTTTGCCACAGTTTGCTTGTCCAGAATTGCAATTCCTCTGCTATTCCCAAATAAACTCATTCTTGCTTAATAATAACTGTTGTTAATTTTGTTTAGGTTGGCAGACTCTTCCAGAAGCACTTCATAATGGACAAAGAGGTCTTACCCGCTCATCTTTCTCAGGTGAGGTATGACAGCATAGCTACCAGTAACAGCGAGAAGCTGGGAATAAAGCCCGCGGAGATGGCTTGCCCCCCGGGACCAGTGATCTTGGAGTTGTTCAAGCCAGGAGAGAAGAAGCTAAGAGAAGTTCAAGGTAAGCCATGAAGGAAAGCAAATGCAAAACGCCTATTACCCACTTCGCCAAAACAAGCTCCATCGTGATCCTCCTGCTCCCACTTTACAAGGTTGAAAAGTTTAATGAGAAAGGAGCCAGCTCTGATCACATAATAAAATATGATTTCTCACTTTATTTTTTTAAGTGCAGCTCTTCAAAAATTGCAGTTAAAAAATCATCTGTAAGAGAAAAAAAATACACTTAATTCAAACACTGATTTTTAATATTCCCACGATAAATGAATGGCCAAACAGGTTCTAGGTTTAAAAACTCCAGGAAATCCTTGTCATAGGAAAAGGTGATCATACTAAGTGAAGTCAGACAGAGAAAGACAAATATATGCCATCACTTACGTGGAATCTAGAAAAATGACACAAATGAACTTATTTACAAACCAGAAATAGACTCACAATCATAGAAAACAAACTTATGGTTACCAAAGAGGAAAGGGAGGGGGATAAATTTGGAATTTGGGATTAACAGATACACACTGCTATATATAAAATCAACAACAAGGACCTACTGCAGAGCACAAGGAACTATATTCAATATCTTGTAATAACCTACAATGGAAAAGAACCTGTAAAAAATACATATATGTATACGTATAATTGAATCACTGCTGTACATCTGAAACACTGTGTGTCAACTATACTTCAATAAAAAATTTAAAAACTTTTTAAACTTAAAAAAAGAAAAGGTGAACTGTTGGTAGGTGGCTGCTGAGAAGGTTCGATTTGAGGGAGAGCAGAAAGGACTCCTGCTTTTATCCTCACGTCTTCCCTCTCACCTATGGACTCCCTGATGCCTGAAATAAATTCTGTGAGTGTCCTCAGCTCTCCAGTGTCTGTCTGATGCTGCAAAGGAGCCAGGCCTGCCTCCCTGTTACTTTGGAGATACGTAAGTCTCACCAGATATTTGCCCTCTGTGTAAGCAAAGAAGTAATAGGTTGCCCGGAGGGCAGGTTTTAATAAGGGGCCAAGGGCACTGGGCACCAGAAGACTAGCTTTCATACAAACAATTCATACAAACAAACAGTGACATTAACCTGACACAAATGACAGCTATACACCAGATGCCTGCCAGAAAATATGTACGTATAAATGTTAAGGATGCTACTATCTTCTAGGAGAAATACCAGCACACATCCACTTCTCCCCATTGCCCACTCCCCTCCACCAAAATAAACTTTAGCAAACCTTCACAGTACAGGTGAATTTCACTCTCCTGCTTTTAACCCGGGTTTCTGATCCTGGTCATGTACTTCTCTGGGTTGGCAGCACTCATTACCGTAGTATAAATTGTGTAGCTGAAAATAATAAGAGGAATTTGAATATGCACATCATTTTCTCTAATATTCCAAAAAGGGAAAAAAATCCCAAGCCTTTCCCTAAAACTTGGGACCTAGGACAAGAATACAAGTAGAGACCCACATATGTGTCAGAATATTGAAAAGTTATAATTCAAGCAATCACATAAAGTGTGTTCCTTCCTCCTATTTTGACTACACTGTAAGGCCAAGTTCAAATTTAAAATTCTCAGACTCCTCAGCGTTCCACATTGTGGCAGTGAGGGAGAGCCGGCCTTGGCCTTCAGCCTTGCTCTGCGTACTCTACACGTGGCATGTGCATAGACACCTCAGCCTTTGCATCTAGGCTTCATGCACAACCCCCAGCAAACAGCATCCCTTGTCCACCCACGACAGCATCAGGGGAACACTACCCAGGGAGGCGGGCCACACAGGCCCTGGAAGTGGCTTTGGCGCTGTTCAGGCTGAGAATTCCAGGGTCCTGGGCACTTGGGCCAGACTCTGAGTCTATTACTTATATCATGGGAGAGTCCGAGGAAGCCCAGAGCTTTAGAGGTTAAAGCTCAGGGATCAAGACAGGGGATCCGCCTACCCAGATTTAAGGATGAAAAGTACAATGTCACTTATTCAACATTCTGCAGAGCAAGAGGCCCGAATAACTTGAGCACATGCACACACACACGAGGGCTCCTTCCCTTCCCTCCTTCATCTACCTCTTGCCCTGGACACCAGCTGGGATGCATGCTCAAAGCATCGAGAGTGGGCTTGTTTAGGAATAGGCGCTGGCACCCCACAGCTGAATCATACACCAGGCTGAAGACAGCACTATAAGCATGTGCAGAGCTCGTCCAAGGGTCACAAAGGTTCCCTGAACAGGACCTCACTTGCTCATCTACCTTATTCATAATTCTGTTCTCCATCACTGTTTTAATATTTTCTCTGCTTATTGCCACAGCAGAGGATGGAGTTCGACTACCGGTGAGTGTAATTTTGTAGCACAGCACAAGGGGGCAGCATAGAGATTAACTGCTTCTGTGCAGACATTTCAACTAACCTCAGGCACTGAACAGCTTAGTTGATGGTAATCATTAGCCTAAAGGGCCTGAGAGTCAGGGATCTGTGTTAATTCAGACTCATGTGGTGATCACCATTTCAATGCATTTCCTCTTGAGTTTTCAATTATACAATAGGGAAAAATGCTACTTGGTAAACTGTTCATAATTTTTAACAATTCTATTTCAACAAAACATGTCAGATGTTACTTAAACACTCACAGCCTTTAACTCAGTAATCCTACTTCTGGGAATTCAGCCAAGGAAAACAATCCAAAAGCAGGGTTAGGGTGGGTGGGGTGGGAATGTACAAATGTGTTTATTCCAGAGTTTTAACAGAGGAAAAACTAATGACTGGTGAAATGTTCAGCTCAACTCTACAACAGTCAATTGACTATAATGCAGCCCTTTAAAATTGTAAGGGCTGTTCATAGCATGGAAAATGCTTTATTAAAACAAATAACTATTTGATTATACTACTCATATTTAAAAGATATATTCATCATTTATAGAACTATTTTAAAACCTGTCAGAACACAAAAATAGGTTTTTAGCTCCTATTTTTTAAATGACTATTAAAAGGGCAAAATTGTGCCCTACTGGCAGGGCTCAATGGTGGGCTGGGACTGAATCCTACAGGCTGGTGAGAGTCAATGATTAAAATGTAGGAAGTTTATGAGCCACCTGTAAGCTTGAAATAGGCCAGGTGGGAGCATTTAACCTTGGACATCCATAGATGCTACAAATCAGGAGTCTTGTTCTTGCTCTCTCTGCCCTCAAAAAGCTAGTTCCCTAGCACACCACCGGGTACCACCTGCAGCCCATGCAGCTCATTTGTTACAGTAGGAAAACTCTGACTAATTTGTTCCCTGTATTGTGCTGTTAGAATATGGTTTATGGAATTAATCTTTTAGCAATAACTTTTTTTTTAAATCACGACATACTTACAGAAAAAAATTTCTAAGGGATGTATTCCTATTATGGTGCAAAGTGCAAAGAGTAACACCAGTTTTGAAAATGTCATTGTACCTGAGGAATCTTCAAGCACCCATATACAAAAGTTAGTCTAGCGGCCGTCAGGAAAACTGCTATTTTATATTTGAGTAAAAGAGGATCATTTCAAAGAAAAAAAAATCAGTTGGGTATTTGAGACTAGAAGTCACTTTACAAGTTTCATCTGTGTTAGGCTATTTCTTGAAGAATACCACTTTGATACTCTTGTCTTTGGAGAAAGGAATGAGGCTGATGTGAAAGTAGGAAAAGCTGGGTTTGGGGATTTATTGGAGTAAAAGAAGGATATAAGACTGTCTTCACTTGCTTCCTCTTTTATTTTAGCCCTACCTCACTAAGTAAAAGAAGGTTCCTAATGAGCTGCTCTTGGGGGAAGATGAGGCACTCAGGCAACACCTCGAAGAGGACGGGACGTGAAAAGGGGGCTGTTGGCCTATTCAGCCTTGCTGTGATGGTGACGTGGACCCTCAGGGCCTCCTGCACAGGTTTAGGGGTGACTGTAACTAAGCTTCCTGTGGCAGTGGTAGCCACAGCCCCGTGGTTCACCTCAGAAATGTAGAGAGAGAAATCCCAGCCTATGGACCCAGGAAGCCATTGCTCCCAGAATGCTACTATCAAAAGCACAGGCTAAAAGAGAACCATTAACTTAGGTACTGAACCATCTGCGAAATGGGCACAGAGGTAGCAGAAAACTCCCTGGGAAGATAAAGGAAAGCCTAAAGTTTAGTTCTAACAGCGCAGTTAAGGCGCCCACAACCTGAGAAGGCAGTCTCCTAATTAGCGGCAGGATTTAGGATGAACACGCCATGCCCTCCTCCTTCCCCATCACTCTGTCCTCCTTACCTTTGTTTTTCTCCATGGACTTCCCACCTGACTCAGGATACATTTGTCTATCTGCCCCTCCCTGCCTCCTTGCCACTCCCTACCAGTAGAACACTAGTTCCAGGAGAGAAGAGACTTTGTTTTGTCACTGCTGTAGCCACAGCACCTAGAAAGCCTGCTCTGAGGGCGCATCAGATCCCTGCTGAGCTGGAGTGTGTGAGAGAGTCTACTGTGCTGGGTTGATGTATGAACAGATGTGCTTAACATGTCACTTACTTGTTATAAACCGGAAACACTGACAAAACCTGCATAGGAAAAATCGTATCAAAAGACTATTAAAAATTCAAAAAGATACACACACCCCACTGTTCACAACAGCATTATTTACAGTTGTCAAGATATGGAAGTAACCTAAGTGTCCATTAACAGATGAATGGATAAAGAAAATATATGCACACAATGCAATATTACTCAGCCATAAAAAAGAACAAAATTGTGCCATTTGCTACAAAACAGATGGACTTGGAGGGCCATACACTAAGTGAAGTAAGTCAGACAGAGAAAGACAAATACTGTAATGATATCACTTATATGTGAAATCTAACAAATAAAACAAACTAGTGAATATAACAAAAGAGAAAGAGACTCAGAAATACAGAGAAAAAACTAATGGTTACCAGTGGGGAGAGAGAATAGGGGAGAGGCAAGATAGGGGTAGAGGACTAAGAGGTACAAACTACTATGTATAAAATAAATAAGCTGCAAGGATATATTTACAACACAGGGAATGGAGCCAATATTTTATAATAACTATAAATGGAATATAATCTTTAAAAACTGTGAATCACTATGTTGTACACCTGAAACTTGTATATCAATTATACCTTAATAAAATAATAATAATAATAACAATAATAAATAAAAAACTATTGAAAGGAGAAATCCATGCAGAGTATCTATAGGAAGAAAATAACCACTTAACATTTTGGTGTATCTTGGGGTGACAGAGTTACAGACTTTTGAATCTTTTCTCTTTTTTCTTTTAAATAAATAAACATACGTTCCAATGAAACCATTTTTTTTAATATGCAGAAACACCCAGGTGAAGATGGACGCTTTAACCCACACAGTGACAAGCTCAGAAAAGGTCGTTGGGCTTTTCTTTTACATGTTTTCAACCAGGTAAAACTTTAACATTTTTATCTACCACATCTGATTTCAGAGGAGAATTTTTTTTTTTTAAATCACTATTGACAAAGACACCCAACATCCTGGGTAAAAGCTAGACGTGGTGACACAAGTTACCTGGAAGAGCGCCTCCAGGCTGAGGTTTGCCTGGCCCGTGGCATTAAGGGCTTTGATGGCAGGTGTTCTGCAAGGACAATAGTCAAAGGTCACCTGGCGCGTCAAGAAACCCTAAATCCCATCGGCTCTCATTTTCGGAGGCTCCATTCAATGCCTAGCCTCATTGTCTCCCTCTTCCCTAAACAGATTCTGGCCCCCATGCATGTTTCCTGCCTAGTCCCAGACCTCCACGGTGGAGTTAATTCAACAGCCTGGCCCAGTGGCCCCATCTGCTCAAGGAATCCAGGATGATGAAAATGTTTGCTGTGAACTGAAGAGTTGTTACCAAACACATGGGTCAGTAAAGCCAAGGAAAGAGATATAAGTACTTGCTCTTTGGAGACACACTGACTTATAATGATAGGATTTTCAAAATTAGAAAGGAAATTAAAGCCCCCAACTGGTTTGTTTACTTATTTAAGTATGGGAAATGTTTTCTTTCTAAAAAAACTCTACATAGAAAACCACAAATCTAGTTCTAGCCTTTCCTTTTACAGGTGGGTGAGAGATCCAAGAGGCCACCCCGTGAGTCATCAGCAGAGCTAGTGGTGGAAGCTAGTGGCTCCTGGCCCTGAGGCCAGAACCAACCTCATCCTCCCAACACCGACCAGCTGCCAAGCAGCTCCCTGCCATGCTCTCCACCACACACTACACTCTTCCATCCTCGCTAAGGCACTGGCCAGGGGGCCCAGGTATATTTTCTGGGAGGGGACAGCACCTGTAGTCCTCTCCAGTCCCTGCAGCAGGAGGGGCACATTCTCCCGACCACTAGAAAACACTGCAAACCAGAAAGTGTTCAGAGCCTACCTCCGGTCATCTCCTTTAGGCACTGGCTTCCAGTGGTCATAATTTGTCTCCACTAGGAACCACCTGCAACAGAACACATCCTCCTGTCTTATTCAAGGTCATTTGAGACATAAAGAAAAAGTATAAAAATTTAAAATGCCTCTAATTTCACCAATTAAAAAAAAAAGTTGCCGAAACGAAATGACCAGAGCCTACTGGTCTACTTACGCTCCATTTAAAGGATCTAGAGGCCAAATGTCTGCTGGGCCACCTCTGTTCCTTGTTATGACCACTCCCTCCTTGGGGGTTGTGCCACCAACAATGTAGTAAACATCAGCAATGAGGGGAGTTTTGGCCAGTTTGTAAACAGCTGCTTCAAAGTTTTCTGATTCACTCAGGGTCTGAACAAAAAGACAGATCTGCATTAGCACCATCATACACGGCAGTTACCCACACCAACTGATAGACAGATGGCCCAAAGCACATTCTGCTATATTAAGTCATGGCTACAGCCTTGAACTGCTCTGACCTCATCCTCTTATCATCAGGGCTGCTGAGATGGAGGAAGCCTCAATGGAAAGTCAAAAGCAGCAGGATTTTTCTCACAAAAGAAGAGAACTTTGACAAGTTCTAGGCCCGGCTCACCAAACATGGGCTGCACGCTTTCGAGGCAGGTCACCCTCACAAAGGACTCCCCATTTTCTCCGTTCATTTGTGTTTTCAGCAGGTATTTCTTGAATGCCAACAATGTGCTAGACACTGTGCTGGTGTGGGGACAGAGCCATGAATATGATGGACCCAGTCCTGATTCTCTCCAAACTTCCAGGGATGGAAGTAGAGTCAACAGCTAATGGTGACACAGTGTAATGAGTGTCAACACAGGGGAAGGAGCTGCTGTGGGAAGTGCAGCAGGCGAACCCATCCTCACCAGGCCATTGAGGAGGCATCCCCAGGAAGGAGTCGCATGAGCTGAGGTCAGAGAGACAAACAGAAGTTAGACCAGTGAAAGTGGTGGGGTGGGGGTGGGGTGGGGGAGGGAACTGCAGCTTGGTAGAACAGATCGGCAAAGGGTTGGAGATGAAAGACAGCATGCTACAGGAGAGCAGCAAGCTTAGCTGGGCTTCCTGAACACTTCCACTGGTCTGCAGCAGGGATAGTTAAGAGCATCATTTTCCAAATCCTCAGCTTCCACGTGTCGCCTTCCTCAGGCTGATCTGCTCAAGAACATCTTGGGTAGAGGGCCTGTCCCACCTGCACCTTCACCATCGCTCTTCTACCACTTTTTGAAAGTACAGGATGGGTGAGCAGGATGGCTGAATACTGCCAAGACTCAATGTCCAGGGTGAGGGTGGGGAGAGGGTCAGACAAAAGAATGATATAAAAAATCGGTGTCTGCAAAGGTACCATTTCAACACCACACACTATTAACCACCGCAAACTTTGTGGACTTTTCCTCACCTTACACATACTGCTGTTAGGATGGGGTGTTTAGACTTCAGTGTTTGGGGTGTTTGTTGTGAACTCAGCAAAATTGTAAGTGAGGCAACAGGAGTGATGAAACTTTTTTTATGAATTATATTCACTATAGCATCCCCCAACTATCATCAAAGAATTCATTGCCTCTAACAGAATTCTATCAAGAACAAAGCAAATGAACATTGGTAAGAAATACCAAAGGCAGTGGTGACTGATTTCATTCACCCAAGTGGCAGACTCAGGGCAAGACAGGTACCTCATCTATCTCAGGGATCAGAGGAAAGGGGCATTGACTGCTAATGGATACAGGGTTTCTTTTTAGGGGAATGAAAATGTTCTAAAACTGATTGTAGTGATGGGTGTACAATTCTGTGAATATACTAAAAACCAGCGAGCTGTATCCTTTAAATAGATGAACTGTATTGTATGTGAGTTGTATGGCGTTACTGAAATTAAATATACATCTACCTATGATCCAGCAATTCCACTCTTAAATACTTACCCAACTGAAATGGATACATGTTTACAAAAAGACTTGTACAAGAATTTCTACAGAAGTTTTATTCAAACAGCTCCAAACTGGAGACAATCGAAAGTCTACCAACAGGAAAATGAATAAATTGTGGCATATTCATATAATTCAATCTTCTTTGGTAACAAAAAGGAATGAGCGAGTGATACAAACAACTGGATGAATCTGAAAAACACTGCACTGAGTGAAAGAAAAAGCGTCCATGTACTATGATTTCATTTATATGAATTCTAGAATAGGCAAAACTTTCTGTAGTGACAGAAGTCAAAGAGTGGTTCCTGGTAGGGAGGCTGGGTGTCAGAGGAGGCTGGAAATTGACTAGAAAGGAGCACTAGGGAGATTCCATGGAAATGTGGAAATGCTCTGTATCTTGTTTTGTTGGTGGTTACATGGATGGATAAATGAGTGTGTACAATTGTCAAAACACACTGAATTAAACCCTTAATATCTCTGCATTTCATTGTATAAATTATATCTAAAATTTTTTTAAAATCATTTTGGGAAAAGGCAAGGGGGAGGGGCAATAGAAGGGAAGGAGAGTAAGAGGTGCAAAGTATTAGGTATAAAGTAAGCTACAAGGCAGCATTATTTACAACAGCCAAGACTTAGAAGCAATCTAAATGTCTACCAACAGATGAATGGATAAAGAAGACGTGGTAAGTATGTATGTATGTACACACACACACACACACACACAGTGGAATACTACTCAGCCATAAAAATGAAATAATGCCATTTGCAGCAACATGGAACGACTTAAAGAGTATCATACTAAGTCAGACAGAGAAGGACAAATAAGTGATATCATTTAAATGAGGAATCTAAAAAAATGACAAAAACAAAGTTACAAAACAGAAAGACTTACAGACATAGAAAACAAACCTATGGTTACCAAAGAGGAAAGGGGGTGGGAGAATTGGGAGTTTGGGATTAGCAGATACAAATTACTATGTAACAACAAGGGCCTATTGTATGACAAAGGGAACTATATTCAGTAACTTTTAATAACCTATAATGAAAAAGAACATGAGATATACATATGTATAGTGAATCACTATGCTGTACACTATAAACTAACACAACATTGCAAATCAATTATACTTTAATTAAAAAATAAATAGAATAAGCTATAAGGATATACTGTACAACATGGGAATATATCAATATTTAATAACTAAATGGAGTATAACATTTAAAAATTGTGACTCATTATATTGTACAACTGTAACTTATATAATGCTGTCCAGCAAATATACTTCAACTTTTTTTTAATTGATAGTTTAACCTAAAGAAAAATTGCAATATTTCATTTAGGTGTCCTCTTGAGAAATCTCTGCACAACCTGCCAAATGCATTTTCTTGGCTGAATTTATCTTTTTTCCAATAGAAAATTGACAATCACATGCTAATAGCTAAATATATGAAACTTTTCTCAGTCTTATTCACGTCATTCTCCTTTAAAAAAAATCATCTTCATGTTTAGATTCCACTGGATAGATTTAAATTATAGTTTTATTTTTAAATGTCAACATATTACAATACACTGGATTTTTTGCAGGTTTTTAATCTTATGATGAAACATTTTAGAAATCATCTTAAAAATGTGTGAAGACCCAATCCAAAAATGGGCAGAAGACTTAGATAAGCAATTCTCCAATGCAGACATACAAATGGCCAATAGGCACATGAAAAAATGCTCAATATCACAAATTATCAGAGAAATGCAAATCAAAACTACAGTGAGGTAACACCTCACACCAGTCAGAATGGCCATTATTCAAAAGTCCACAAACAGTAAATGCTGGAGAGGCTGTGGAGAAAAGGGAACCCTCCTACACTGATGGTGGGAATGCAGTTTGATGTGGTCATTATGGAAAACAGTATGGAGATTCCTCAAAAAATTAAAAATAGATTTACCATATGATTCAGTAATCCCATTCCTGGGCATATATCCAGAGGAGACTCTAATTTGAAAAGATACATGCACTTCAATGTTCACAGCAGCACTATATACAATAGCCAAGACATGGAAACAACCTAAGTGTCCATCGATAGATGATTGGATAAAGAAGCTGTGGTATACTTATATAATGGAATACTACTCAGCCATAAAAAAGAATAAAATAATGCCATTTGCAGCAACATGAATGGACCTGAAGATCATTATCCTAAGTGAAGTAAGCTAGAAAGAGAAATACCATATGATATCACTCATATGTGGAATCTAAAATTTTTTAAAAAGCCACAAATGATCTTATCTACAAAGTAGAAACAGACTCATAGACATAGAAAACAAACTTATGGTTACCAGGGGGAAGAGGGGAGGGAAGGGACAAATTGGGAGCTCAAGATTTGCAGATATTAAGCAGTATATATAAAATAGATAAACAACAATTTCTTCTGTATAGTACAGGGAATTATATTCAATATCTTGTAGTAACCACTAATGAAAAGGAATATGAAAATGAATATATGTATGTGTATGACTGAAGCATTATGCTATACACCAGCAATTGACACAACATTGCAAACTGATTATACTTCAATTAAAAAAAAATTTGTGAAGGATGCATAGTTTGTCAACATCTTTAGGGACCATTCAAGTAAAAAGGTTACGAGAACTCCAAGTCCAGAGGGGCCTCATCATTTAGAGCCGGACAAGGGATGGCCCAAAAGGCCAAAGCTGGACAGGGCCAGATTCCTGTACCAGAGATGTGCTCCTGCTTTCTATGGTCAGATTACAATTTATATGTGGCCTGGAACTGTGCTAACGGGCATGGGTAGCAGGTGTTCCTTTTGTTATGTGTAGAGCTACCTTCTAATGTATTTGTTTTGCTAATGCAGATACTTGCAAATTGAGATTAAGATTTTGCAACTGAAGATTCTAAAAGAAGGGCACATCTATATAGAAAAGCATATTATCTCTTATCTCAATCAGCAATTTTTTTGTTTTTTTTTAAATTTATTTTTACCTCTTTTTTTCTTAAGTATCATGAATTATAGTGTTAGTTCCTGGTGTACAATGAAGTGATTCAGTTATATATTTCTTATTCATATTCTTTTTCATCATGTTTTATTACAAGGTATTGAATATAGTATGCTGTGCTATATGGTAGGACATTGTTATTTATCTATTATATATATATTAATTTGTATCTGCTAATCCCAAACTCTGAATTTGTCCCTCCCCCCTTCCCCTTTGGTAACAGTAAGTTTGTTTTCTATGTCTGTGAATCTGTTTCTGTTTTGTAAATAAGTTTATTTGTACTATATTTTAGATTCCACGTATAAGTAGTATATGTTTGTCTTTATCTTACTTTAACAATCAGCTATTGAGATAAGAAAACTCTAGCCTATGACAAAAATCCTCTCCTTCGCCAAATTCAAGCCAGGCTACTCAGAGCCCTCTTCTCAACTATGCCTTAATCTTAACATATAAAGACTTGGACAAAGACTATCATAGCTTCTAAGAGCTCAAGGCCGCATCCCTAAGATGACCCTACCTGCCTTATAGTGTCTGCCGGAAAAAACTCAAGGCTTCCCAAAGAATTCAGCCCATACCTGGAGATATGTGTCCCAGCAGTCTCTGCCGGAGGGCAGGAGACTGACTTTCTTCATATGGACAAACCCTCCTTTCCACTTTTCCACTTCCAACTCTACTGTGCTCTCCTCACTGTCCCTTTAAAACACCCAGTCACCTCTGTACAAATTGAAGTTTGAGTTCCGTTCACACTGGACACTTTTCCCTATTGCAATATTATCCTACTGATAAAAATCTGTTCTTGCCACTTGAACTAGTGTCCTGCTTGTTCTTTGATCCTTATTAAGAGAGGTGATATGCATTTTGCAAACCTTTATTTGCTTATTTTTATCAGGAGCTTCTTACATTGAAAACAACACTGTTAAAATGACACCAAGCATCACAACATGAACACGGTTTGGGAGATGACATCAGGGTGAGGAGAGCTCGACAGCAAATATACTCACAGTGCGGATGAGCCAGCTGATCAGGGAGTGTCTCTGAAACAGGGCAGCGATCACATTCTCCCACCACCAGCCTTTATCTGCCGAGATGAGGAAGGAACAATAAGTACATACTCAAATTGCTGCTCCAGAGCCACTTTCTTAATTCCTTAAATCTTGTTTCTTTCCCATCTTACAAGCTGATGGGGGAGACAGGTTGGTGGGCAAAGAATGATTTTACTGGCATCTAGTTTTCAACGATGAAGCCCAAATTTCATGGCAGCATATAAACCTGTGTGTGTGTGTGTGTATGTGTACACAATCACACAAACTTTTACCTGGAAACAACGGTAATTATGTTAAAGGAAATCATTCTGTTTATTACTTCACACAAAATAAAATTAGGTAGCTATCAAGAGAAGTAGGAATGGTCTTCCCCCAGCTTCTGCAGACCTGGCTCCTGGATCATGTGAGTCAGGCCCTAGGCAGGGCCCCGTACCTGTAATACCAGCTCCACCTCCTCCTTCGTCTCTATCACATCTTGTGGTTTTACTTTCTTGGCAGCACCTATCACTACCTGAAATCATCTTCATCACTTACCTGCCCACTGCCAATCTTCCCCTACGAGGACGGAGGCATGTAGTGATGTAGGTGTTCTATAACTTCTGCTGGGTGAGTGAATGAAGCACTTGGATAAAATCGAACAGGGACATGGCTAAAAATGCTTGGGAGTTTGTTTTGATTACCTCGTTCGTTGCCAGAAACTGTAAACTTGTGTGGACTCTGACCAGTCCATAATCCTACATAGCCAACGAAGGTGGTTCCTGTGAACACAACCTGAAATCAAGAGATAAGGCATCATCTAAGCACTCCAGCCAAAGGCACACTGAAATCACCTGTTTTGCCCCACAATTTCACGGATTTTTCTTCTACGTTCCAACACGCTAGAATGAGAACTTTGAAATAGCCTTCTAGAAGATTTAACTTTGGGCGGCCAAGGATAGAAGTCTGTGGATCTGTGACCTTGGATGAGAAAAAAGGTACATCTTTATTTTCACTAACCTCTAACTGAAATGAGTACATGCAAGGACGCGTGGAGTTACTGCACTGCCTGGGGTTCAGTCACCAGGAGAAACCGCTGGGATTTTCAGACCTAATGGCTTTAGACATGATGTACACACACATCTTGAAACAGCATTCATACTTACTACTACTCTGAATTTATGGTAGTCATTAGACTCATTGCTAAAGTTTACCAGCTAATGTGTTAAGAAAAAGTATAATATTAAAAAAGATATATATATTTCAACATAACTGGCTTTCTTTGTGATCTCATGCATTTTATGTATTTATAAAACATTATTTTGAGAAGGGATCAATAACCTTTATCAAAGGGGTCCATGCACAAAAAAGTTAAGAGGCTTCACCCTGGAAGTAGCAAATGGACTCCAATTAAAAACCTTGTGTTGACTCAATTATAAGAGATAAATATCATGCATCTTACAAACTCTGTGAAGGGGAAACGAGTGAGACTTTATCAGTAATAATCATATTTAAATTTTAAATAGGAAAAAATTCCTTTACATACACCTTTCATTTAATCCTTACGATTATTCCATGAGTTATTGAGATCACTCCCACTTTTTTTTTGTTTTTTAAATTTAAAAAAAAATTTTTTTTTGGCTTTTTCCTTATTTTTTTTTTCTTTTTTCACTCCCACTTAAAGAAATGAGCTCCTATCATTGTAAGACACCACTATATACCCCAGAGGAGAAAAATCAAACACTATCAATTATTTCAGATACCAGATGTCATTTTTCAAAGAGGTACTTAGATAAGTGCCCAGGTTATACTGTTCAATAAAGATGAACTATTTTATATTTTGAGAAATGAATGGACCTAGGTTAGTTTTTTCCTAGAAAATTGAATTTTAAGTCAGTACCTTTTCACTTAATTGTTTATTTCTACCTTGTCTGGTTGTAAAATAAAGTGGCTAAATTACAAGGGAAAAATGCAGTGGCCTTAATTTTACAAATGACCTCTTCCTCTAGACTCATTGAGGGCCTTCTCTAAATCCTCCCCACTTCCATTCACAGCAGTAAAATGGGAGTAAGTGCCTCACTACTAAAGCCTTCACAAAATGTAACTCCAGGGGAGAAAAAGTAATCATTTGGTCACTTCATTTGCATGGTGCACTGACCCGCACATTAGTGTCACTCTTGAAGAGCTCAGCAAATTAAAGTTACAAAAAATCAAAATCACATTGTAGTTTCTAAGATATTTTATATTACATAATCATAAATTAGAAGATAGAATTTGTAAGATATTGTATCTTATAGCTTTGAAAAACTGTCTTTATTTCTAAATATCTATGCTTTCCAGTTGTCTGTGCCAGGTCATTTAATATAAACAAACCCTTAGTTGCAGCAGGAGACTCTAATTTTCAGCCTAAGGCTGGGATTTGGGGAGAAAGCTCCTCGGAGGCTAAAGACCTGGGTTGGTCCCACCTCTGCCACATTTCCCCAGGTGATTTGGAGCAAGCTCATCTCTGTAAGGCCCAGTGCTTTCATCCAGAAAATGAGGATGGAGATGTTGACTGGAGCCTGCCTCACAGGGCTGACGTGAAGATAAAAGGGGGTCCTGTATCTGAAAATGCCTTCAGAATTATGAACACTAGACAAGTATAAGAGCTTAATCATTGGGTTTTCAATTTAGCAAAACAATTTGTTGGCTAGAAGCCCTCAGCAGAAAGACGATACCCAAGTGTAAACTACTGAATTTGAAAATAGTAATGTGAGCACTGAGAAAAGCCACACCAATAGGTTACTCCCCATGGGAGCCTCAGGGAAACAGAAACAAACAGAGCAACAACTCAGGATGATGGTGAGTCTGGAGGGAATAGCTGAAATATTTATTTTTATTGCATTTAATCCTTTTGTCGATTTTTAAGAATTTCTGCTCCCTATAGAATAATGGAGAAAGGCCTAAAGCAGTAAATGAAAATAATTACTGTCCCCTCATTCAGCAATAATTACTAACATTTTAATCATTTCCTTTCAGAATTTATTTTGCTGAGTCTGTCATTGCTGCCACTTAAAACCATTTTAGAAGTAAATCTTTGGCTAACAAATCAAATTGGTAATAGTGGTGAAATAAAGGAATGAAACTGGGAAAGGAGAAATTTTCACCTTAAATATTTTTGCATTGTATGAGTGTTTAATAAGAAACAGTTTTTGTCTGTAAAAGCAGGTAACTAAATGAGTACTTAGTAAATGAGTTTCTAATATTTGTGACTCAAACCCTAAATGCAAAGAACAAAAGAAATAAAGTCCTATCCTTCAACAGTGTCCCCCAAAGCCAAAGCTTGACTTTTGCATGCTCTGTTCTGTCTCATGGCAATGACATGCGTTGTGTACTCAGTGAACATAGATCAATGCTGTCCTCGAGATACTTACACAGAAATGTGCCAGTAGTAAACAGTAGATTGTACTTTTAAAGAAACTATGATGAAGATGAAATGATCAGAGTAAAATTGTTTCTAAAGATCAAACATAAGACATTGGTATGTGTCAATCATACTTTTAGAGTGAAGGACTACTTATGATCTGGCCACTATTTATCAAGCATTGACCACATGCTTTGCATAGATTACTTCATGTAACCTCTATAACTATCTCCATAAAGTAATTATTAACCTCTCTGAGCTGGTCTGAAAAATGAGTTTAAGTAATACCCCAAGTTCACAAAGGAAGTGACAGTAGCAGGATTCAAACCCAATTAGATCCCAAAACTGAGTGTTCCTAGCCATTACTTTACCCAGCCACTCCTTATTCTAGAAGAGACCTGACACAGGAAAGCAGAGGAAAGAGCTGACTTACCATTATAAGTGGACAACTGATCATACCCCCATCCCCAGAGATTTCCCTACGGAAAACTGGTTGACCTCTCTGTAAGCAGATACTCAATAATAATAAATGACCCTTCTTTCTATAAGCATCCTTATGTAAACCTCTCTTGTGGTTTTGTTTTTCCAGGAGTTTGATATTTTTTGTATCTTAAATTAATACACTTCAGCTGCAGACGATCCAAGTGACAGCTAACTTGGGTTAGCAAGTTTCTCTGATTTCTTGAATCTTACACTGTACAGACTATACCTGCCCATTCTTTAAGAACTGCACATCCATTGTCAAGTTGCGTAAGAGATTTCCAAAAGCATAATCCAGATTCCGTCCATGGTAAATGTGGCCTCTGGAGTCTTGAGCCACAATACTGGTGCAGAATCTGGGGAAAGGGAAAAACCCAACATGAATGAATAAGAAAAACAAGAAGAAGGACATGAGTTTTTCATTTTTAAAATAAGTCCTCAGTTTTTCTTCCTTATAATGAACACACATGCACAATTCAAGATGAAAAAGAACTGTACACAACTCAATAGTGTTCATCCAGTGTTATTGGACTTTTGCCCTCTGTACACGTGACATTGAAAACATACTGGAAGAGAATTTCATCTTAAATCTAAATCTGAAACGGACCCATTCTGGGCTCATCTAGACCACTGAACTTCGTTCATTCCTCTGCTTGGCAGTTTGTAGTCTCTTTAACACACCCTTCAAAGCTGGCTCAAGTCCAACCCTCTCTGCCCTGAATTTCTCAGAACAAGTACAATGGCACCAAACCATTCTGTTCCACAAACTGCTTCATCTTGTCTCTTTGGGAAAAAGGTGAACTATTTAGTGTCTTGGCACTTTTCCTGTCCCCCCTTGAGCTCCCTGCCCAGAGCTAATAAGAGAAATGGACCTTTTAAGAACTCCTAGCCAGAGAGATGCATTTTAAGGGAAACAAGAAGTTTGTTAAGATGTTTAAATGTGCATATTCTCTGAGACTATGTAATGTTTGGTGAACAAAGTATTTAAATAAATCATGTCCAATTCAGGGACAGGGGAAAAATAGGTACACATACACACACCCAGAGGAAATATCGTGAAGGATGGATGGTCATTTTTGAGTAACAGGACTGTGCTTAATTTTCTTTATACTTTTCTGTACTTACTAATTTTCTATAATGATTACATATTACTTTTATAATTAAGAGAAAATAAATGTTACTTAATTTTTTGTGTGTGTTTAAAAATGGAAACTTGGTCAGGTTTTAATTTTTTTTTCCAATTTTTTCCATGATCTTCAAAGAGTTCATGTCAAGAAGGGAACTGATCAAACACTGGAAGTAGCTAAAGCTCGGGGGAAGGGTATAGCTCAGTGGCAGAGCACATGCTTAGCATGCACTAGGTCCTGGGCTTAATCCCCAGTACCTCTGTTGAGAAAAAATAAATGAATAAATCTAATTACCAACCCCAACTCCACAAAAAATAAATAAATAAATAAATAAAATGAAGTTGGTAGACTCTCTTGCAAAGGTGATTTTTCAAAATTAGCAAGACAGCAATTCTTCTGTGTTATACCCAAAAGTTTTGGTGTGAGGTAGCCGACAAGCACAGGGGATAAATGGGGAACCAGGCTCCGCTTTGGGAGAGGCACTGCAGTGCACTGGGGACATGTGCTTTTAGCAGCAGCTCTGACAACTTACCATGCACCTAACTTTCAGCAAGTTGTCCCCTTTGAGTTTTGGTTTCCACATCACAAAAGGTAATACCATCTCCAGTATCTCATACCCAGTAGGCTCAATAAAGGGTAGCTAGTTTTAATCAGATTCAAAAAGCCTTATACCAGCAATAAGGACAAAACATTTCCTTTGTTAATGCTAGTGGAGTCTGAGGGTGCTTTTTCTTAGCAGGCAATTCAATATACCTTAATTCAATATACATCTTAGTATCACACCCCAAAGTTAGAATGTTTTTACTAGAATTTTTGCTTTAGTCAGTTGAATACAGTGACTAACAAAAGAAGGTGTAAATGAAACTGTTGATTTTTTTCCATTGAGAAAGGCACATGTCAGAAGAGGAAAAAAGATGGTGGTAGGAGATGAGGAATGGCAAAATTAACTGAGGTCATTTGAAAAGCACTTCAACACATGTGTGTCTTATCTGTGTCTTAAAACATTTTCCTGAAAAGGAAGGCAGCCACAGTGCTTCTTAACTTTCTTTGCCTAAGTGTTCTGAGAAGATGACAGGAGGCAGTAAAGCTTCATTATCCAAAGAAAAATAAATTTATACCATCTTTTGGCAGCCAGAAGCCATAGGTATCTACAAGGTGTTAACTAGATGAGACTGGTCTGGTGGCAAAACAGTAATTCCTTCAGACTGAAACCAAGTCAAATCTCTTAATTCCAGGACCTGCTACCAAGCCAACAGACTTGAGCTCCCCCCCACCCCCGCACTTGGCCTGGGATCAGCCACACAGTGCGTATTGCTTTCACCTGGGTGCGCCACAGTTCATGCCACCCCGCGTACTAAATACAGTCTGGCCCTATCAGCCAGAACAGTGTTGCCTGTGACCCCAGCCCTGGAGGCAACAGACTCGGAAAAACGACTCCTGATCGCTAGCTGTGAGGAACACGGGGAGAGGAGGTGATAAAAGCAGGGGGGTCAAATGAGTGCTGAGACTACCCCCTGCATTAGAGGGCTGGTGGGCCATTGGTTTAACTCCAGGGTCCAGCCAAGAGTGGGATCAGTTCTCAAAACTTCCTAGAAAAGTACATGTTGGGCAGCGTTTAGAAAGTGGGATGCTACCCAGATTGGTGGAGGGAGAAAAGGGGACTTCACACAGAGGAAGTTCAGTGTTGAGGTCAGAGAAGCTGCTTTCCTTCTCGAAGCTCATAATCTGCTGCTCGGATTTATCTAGACAAGCAAAGAGGAAGCACTGGAGGTTTCTGGGGAGCCCGGTCACCACCCCGTTTTTATTACACTGAAAACACGTCTCCTCCCACTCAGATGTAGCAGGAATCCCTGCCAAGTCTCAAGTTAATCCGCGCAAGCACGGGGCACTCACGCGGAGGACTCATAGACTAGGTTGAGCAGGATGCAGTCCGCCAGCTGGAAGTTCAGGGCGTCGCACATGCCGCGGATCTCGCCTATGAAGGGCTTCGGCAGGAAGAGTTCCAGCATCCTGACTGTCTTTCGGATCAATTCGAGGACCCACTTGGGGACATTATCCCTAGAAACAAAAAACCACGAGGATGTCTGATCTGCTCAGAGTTTGGAGGGGTGCGAGTGTGTCTCTATTTGGAGAGGGGGTGCCTAAATTTCTCATCCTTGCGGGTGACTGCTAGTTGCCTCCTTTCCCCAGAAAGCTGACAGCCCAGGCCTCTCCGGCATCATCCCAAACGCCAGCGTCCAGGAGAGAAAAGAATACTCGGAGACAGGGAAGTAGGGGGACGGAGAGTGGTCCCAAGGGGTGGGTTTCGGGGCCGTGAGGCCTGCTGGGAGCGCGTAGGCTGCGTCCCTCACTCGGTAGCTGAGCAGCTGGGGCGACAACCCATGTCCTACCCTGATCCAGAATGGCTGGTGGACGGGCGTGCCACTGGTGACACCGAACCTGAAAGTCAAGCCAGCTGCGTCGGTTCATCCCCAGCCCCGACGTTGCCTAGAGCAGTAGCACCTGCAAGTTCTGGTTCCCACCTAGCCTGCACACTCCAGACGCCGGGGGTCGAGGCGGCCCTTGCGAAGGGCAAGGCAGTCGCAGAGGGAAGGGAGAAGTCACAAGTCTCAGTTTGAAGCACACTGGGCTTTCCCGCACTCCGAACCCCGCCGCCAGTGTCCCTGCAGCACCCCCTCGCCTGCGCTCACCAGACGATGTGCGCCATCGCGGCACGCAAGAAGTCCGGGTCGAAGTGCTGCAGCACCGGCAGCCAGCGCAGCTCCGGGGCCATGTCCAGGCTCACGTTGAAGAGCGGTGGGGCTTGCGGCGAGGCGGCGGCGAACACCCCGGCCCCGGCCAGCAGCAGCAGCAGCGCCGGCGCCGGGCGTGCACTCGGACCCGCGCTTCTCATAACTCCTGCAGCCACTGCCGGCTCCCGGGGGAAGCGCTGGAGGAGAAGGAGGAGCCCTGGCGAAGCCAGGCGGGCTGGAGGCGGAGCCCGCGTGCGGCTGGGTCCGCCTAGTCAGTCACCCGGGACCCGGCATGGCGAGACCCGGCACCTCCCCTGTCAAGCATCTGCGCTTCCTTCCTCCTCCACCAGTGCCCCCATTCACCCCTCCCCGGCAGCAGTCTCGAGTCCGGCCTGGCTCTGGGTCCTAAGAAGGCGCTAAATGCGTCCACCGCTTCTCACTCCCCACCCCATTCACCCACGTGGGTCTAGAGAGTGTAAACTGTGGCCTGGAGAAAATGATTTTCAGCCGCGAAGAGGAAGCCTGGCCAGTCCTACCGTGGTAGAAGGGGACGCTCCACCCCCATCCCACTCCCCCTACCCCCCACGCTCCCATTTGCTCTTATTTAAATTCTTCTGAATTTTACAAGGGAAAGGAGACTTTTTTCAGTTCAACACTCCCTCTTCTTTTCAGTTTTTTTTTAAGCTAAAAAGGTAGTGAATTTTAAGTGCCAGATGTTTTTGCCCACTCTGTCTCACTGAACCATCAAAACAAGCTAAAAGATAGGTTCTACTAACTCATCCCTGTTTTCCTGATGGCGAATGTTATGTAATTTGCCCGAAGTCACAGGGCTGGTGAGCACTGCGCTAGCCTCAAAGCCAGGCTATCAGAATCCAAGCTCCACCTTCATAATCATTAAGCTGAAGCATCCTCACCTTTTGGGGATCCCAACTTGGGAGACAAAACGCATTAAGTATTAGGAAAATCACCAAACTTAGTAAGACTGGGACGTTCTTTAATGATTAACACGGTCGTTTGTGGGTAAAATAGTGTGGAGGAAACTTGGAAAGTTCATTTTTTAAAAGTACCCCCTCTCCCCAACTAGAATACGCCATCATTACCTTTGATTTTTTCCCCATTTTAATGGGCTATGTAAAATGGGCTACAATTTTAAGGTTCTGTTGCCATTTCTTCCTGGTCGTTCTATAAAATTTAAGTCAAGACGCAGATCTTAATTAGCTCATTTGCAAAGCCTGAGTAACAGCAGTTGCCCAATTAAGGCACAGGTGGATTGAGAGAATCACTAAGGGAGCAGAGATCAGCTGGGTTCAGAGAGATGTGCTTCCATAAAAAAAAAAAAGTGACTTCCCTCACTTTAAGAATGATATTAAAAAGATTAAAATTAAAAACAAATAAGGGATTTTAAAAACAACCATGATAAAGTGTACTGAATGAACAAATCTACAGTGGTAAAATAGGTGTTATGCACAAGCTTAGCTCAATATAATTTCATGTAATCTATTCATCTACTATTAAAAGGTTATACATACGCTATAGGACAGTTTAAAATGAAGATTTCAAGGGAGATTTGGAATTTCAAGACTATGAGCTCTCTCTTTTCTGCTGCTTCTGTGCTATGTGGATTTCAGGGATGCTATATGCTGATTCAAGGAACTGAGACTTTCTACCAAGCGGCAGAGAGGAACTGAGGCTTCTTGCTAACAGCCATATGAATAAGCCATCTGGGGAGTGGATCCTCTCGCCCCAGCTAAGCCACTCAAAGTTCCTCACCCACAGAAACTGTGAAATAATGCTCATTTCTTTAAGCCACTAAATTTCATGGTAATTTGTTATGCAGTAATAGATAACTAATACAGATCTGGGTATTTCAAGTGGAGTGGTATCAAACAAATACCTAAAAAATGTGACTTTGGAATTGGCTAGGTGGAAGCTAGATGGATAATAGTTTGGTGGTTTCTTACAAAACTAAACGTACTCTTACTGTAGGATCCAACAATCACTCTCCTTGATATTTATCCAAAGGAGATGAAGACATGTTCACATAAAAACCAGCACATAGATATTTATAGCAGCTTTATTCACAATTGTCAAACCTTGGAAGCAACCAAAATGTCCTTCAGTAGGTGAATGGATAAACTGTGGTACATCTAAACAACAGAATATTATTTACCAGTAAAAAGAAATGAACTTTCAAACCATGAAAAGACATGGAGGAAACTTAAATGCATATTACCAAGTGAAAGAAGGTAATCTGAAAAAGCCACATACTGTCATGATTCCAATTCTACGACATTCTTGAAAAGGCAAAACTCTGGTGAAAAGATCAGTGGTTGTCAAGGGTTAAGGGGAAGCAAGAGATGAATAGTCAGAACAGGGGTGCTTTTTAGGGCAGTGAAACTACCCTGTAGGATACTGTAATGGTGGATACATGTTATTATACATTTGTCCAAACCCACAGAGTATACAACACCATGAGGGAGCCCTTTGTAAACTAGGGACTTTTGATAATGTGTCAGTGTAGATTCATCAATTGTAACCAATGCACCACTCTGACATAGGATGATGATAATGGGGGAGCCTACACCTAGGGGGAGGAGCAGAAGTATATGTGATATCTCTGTACATTATGCTCAGTTTTGCTGTGAACTTAAAACTGCTGTAAAAAACAGTCTATTAAAAATTTTTAAAAATTTTTAAACAAACTCAGGACTGTTTTTTAAAATTCCCAGATCCAAAGTATATATGGGAACTTAGTTTATCACACAGATGGTATTGCCTATCTGTGGAGATACTTGCAACATAAGTAATTGACAAATAATTGGTATCCAGAATATATAAAGACCCCCTGCAAGTCAATAAGAAAAAAACAAACCAAAAAGCTATTAAAGAGGAAAATCAAATGGCAAAAATCCATGTGAAGCAACTCAAACTCACTAGTAACCACTGAAATGCAAATTAAAACAATGATACCATTTCACCAACAACAGATTATCTAAAGTTCTAGAGTCTAATAACACCAAGTGTTGACATGGATGTGCTAAAATCGGAATTCATATGAGTTATTAGGAATGTGTAACTCAGCATTGCCTAGTAAACCTGAAGACTCATGGACCCTATAACCCAGGAATTCCATTTCTAAGCTTCTATGTAAACTTTGGATAAAGAAATGACTCTAAGACATATACCAAGGAGACATATACAAAGCTTCATTGGGGCAAGATTTTTAAATAGCAAAAATGCAAAAAACCGAACTGCTCTTCAGGAGGGTAATGATAAATTGTGGATTTATAAATAAACAATGGGAAACTATTATAACAGTTAAAATGAAAGAATCTTCATTTATCCAGAATCTAATGTTGTTATACAGTCAGCAAAAGAATATATACAATGACACCATTTATGTAAAATTTTAAGATACTAAATGATACATTCTACTGCACACACACACACACACACACACACGTACATGCACAAATGTAGTAAGAGAAAAAAATACATAAAGGAATAATAGGCATCAACTTCAAGACCGTGGTTATCCCTGAGAAAAGGGAAGAAATGGCTGGGTAGGGCTTCAGTTGCAATCTTAATGTTCTATTTCTTTAAAATAAAAAAGAATATGGTAAAAACTAACACTCAACAAATCTAGGAAATGGATATGTTTCATTTTTTGATGTTTCTAAAAATCACAATTAAAATAGTAAAATGTTTCTAAAATTTTTAGAAAGAGAAAGATTTAAGTATCCTTAAAACAAGAAGTTGTGAAATATCATAATTTATTCTTTAGTTTCTGTGTAATTCTTTTATATTTCCCCTTCTGTAACATTTTCCAGAGTTAAGTTCCTATGTCGTCTTTAACTTTCCTTTACCCTTTGGCCAAATTCCCTTTTAAAGCACCCCTGGATCTGATGTTAATATTTAAATTACAGAAGTAGTAGGTACACTAAAATTGGATCTTGCTAATAAGAATGGGACTAGCAATATTTTATATTAAAAAAAAACTAGACCATTGGCATTCTTGAAACAAAGGTCTTCAGATTTGGATTGAATCACACCACTGGCTTTTCTGGTTCTCCAGTTTGAGGACAGCAGATCATGGGTCTTCTTGGCCTCCATAATCTCCTGAGTCAATCCCTGTCATAAATCTCCCTATATAGATATTATCTATCTATCTATCTATCTATCTATCTATCTATCTATCTATCTATCTATCTATCTATCTACCTACCTACCTACCTATCTAGTCTGTCTGTCTACCTACCTACCTATATCTCCGATTGGTTCTGTTTCATTGGCAAACCCTAAAACATGTTTATTATGTGGAGGAAAAAGAAAACCCAATCAGCTATATTCTCACCACACTATTTTCATATGCATATTATATTTATAAAATTTAAGTTGTAAGAAGCACTATTATTTTATGTGTCTTAAAGAGACACTTGCTGACATTTAAATTACAACACAATGCTTTCTTATTAGAATTTAAAAATGTCTATGTATTGCTAAGTCTTTTGTCACAGGTATTTAAAAATCACATACCTCCTCTTGTACATATTTTAAAAAGTGAAACAAATTGGTTAAAATATTGCATAAGCTTCTTTACATTCAGAATCAGATTCTTGTGAATCTTTGTGTGACTTGGCATCCTAGATGCCCAGATTTTTCCACACATGGAAAACTGGTGTGATTGAAGAACCTTGGTGATGCAGCATTTCTTGAGTTCTCCACTCAGAAAGGGGGCTTACCGGGTGGTGGTATGTTCTGTTTCTTGATCTGGGTGCTGATAACGAGGGATGTATTCAACTTGTAAAAATTCATTGAGCTTAAGTACACTAAATGATATTTGTGCTTTTCTTTATGTATATATTATTATACACCAATAAAAAGTTAAAAATTTTAGAAAAATGTTCCACTGTTTTCTGGATTTTTTTTTTTTACTAGGTATTGACTGTTTTGCAAGTTTTTTTTAATTCAAAAAAATTTTTTATTGAAGTGTAGTCAGTTTACAATGCTGTGTTGATTTCTTGTGTACAGCATAATCGTTCAGCCATATATATACATACATATATTCATTTTCATATTCTTTATTATAGGTTACTATAAGATATTGAATATAGTTCCGTGTGCTATTCAGAAGAAACTTGTTCATTTTATATATAGTACTTAGTATCTGCAAATCTTGAACTCCCAATTTATCCCTTTCCACCCTTTTCCCCTCCAGTAACCATGTTTGTTTTCTATGTCTGTGAGTCTGTTTCTGTTTTGGAAATAAGTTCATTTATGTCCTTTTTTAAGATTCCACATGTAAGTGATATCACAAGGTATATTTCTTTCTCTTTCTGGCTTACTTCACTTAGAATGACGATCTCCAGGTCCATCCATGTTGCTGCAAATGGCATTATTTTATTTTTTTTATGGCTCAGTAGAATTCCGCTGTATAAATATACCACAACGTCTTTATCCAGTCAGCTGTTGATGGACATTTAGGTTGCTTCCATGTCTTGGCTATTGTAAACAGTGCTGTGAACATTGGGGTGCATGTGTCTTTTTGAATTAAGGTTCCCTCCAGATATATGCCCAGGAATGGGATTGCTGGATCACATGGTAAGCCTATTTTTAGATTTCTGAGGAATCTCCATACTGTTTCCATAATGGCTACACCAAACTACATTCCCACCAACAGTGTAGGAGGGTTCCCTGTTCTCCACACTTTCTCCAGCATTTATCATTTGATTTTTTTAATGATGGCCATTCTGACTTCTGCAAGTTTTGATACTGGTCCTTGCTTGTTCTTAGCAGATGTCAACTTAAGATTTTCAGACCAAGTTCATGAACATGCATGAATGTGCAACTGTGTAGATAGTCATTTGGCTGGAAAAATTTTAAGACATATTCCAATTTCATCAAACATATGAAAAATATTTGTCCTAAAACACGTTACATTTTGCTTTTGAAAATAATGGCACATTTTCCACATTGCTATAGTGTTTATACATTATCTTTAAACCAACTTTTTATCAAGGTGATTAATAGTTGACTATTCTAACTCAGGTTGCTTAACTATTCCCATATTTTGAGATATTTTCTCACACCCATTTTTGCCACTATAAATTATGCTGCAACGAGTATTTCCCTACAGTTAGCCGGTGGTAGACATGGCTAGTTGCCTACCCAAAATCTATTTCCCTTTCTACACTGCTAACAGAAGCCCCATTCTGTTGGGAATATTACGGTCCATTTAAGCTGAGTGGTCAACAATCTTACTTCCTGCTTTCTTGGCTTCCAGTTTTGATAGCGTGGCCATAACCCAGTTTTGGCTAATGAGACCCAAAGGAAGGCTGTTACAGGGATCCTGCAAAAGCTTTTTGCTTTCCTAGTAAAAGGGATGGATGTGGCAATGCCCTTCTTGTTGCCTTAAACTTACAAGAAATGTCTGTGAAGGTGGACTATCACGTCCATTTTACCGACAGGAGACCTCCACACAGAAATGTTGAGTAACTTGCCTGAGGTCATAAAGCTGCCAGTCAGTATTCAAATCCACACTAAAAATGACAAAGCAGAAACAGAGCCCAAGATCCTGAAGGCATCATTGAGTAGCTGACCTCAGGCCAGCAACTGTCCACTCCAGACTTCTTCAGTGAAACTCCAATTTGGCTAGACTAATTTTAGATACATACTCTGTTACTTGCAGCAGAAACATCCTCAAACACATCTTTGCCACATTTTCGACCATTTTCTTTGACTAGACTCTCAGAAGTGGGCTGAGTCAAACATTATGACTGTTTTTTAAGGCTCTTGATACAAAGCACTAATTATTTCCCCTAAGAATTATACTAATTCAACACTTTGCTAACATTGGGTATTGCGGGCTAGAGTCAAAGGGTCCCAAACTAAGCATGACTAGCACCCCATCAGTAAATCAGTGGAAGAGAGTCATTAATAAGGTGAGACTACAACTCCTCTGGGAGTATTTTCAAACCAATCCTTGCCTTGGTTTAAGGTGCAATCCTCTTGTGATAAAAAACTAATTCATAAGAACGAGTCTTTATTCCCTTGCCTCAAATAAGTTACTGTGCTTCTGATACAATAACACAGTTGCAGCATAGCATACACACTGTAAAAGACAGAGAGCAAAGCAGAAATAAAAACCTCTCACACATGATCCTGATACCAAAGAAAATCACTTTAATATTTGGTGGCTTTCTTCTTGGGCTTCTATTATTCCCCATTTTCTTACATGTGTAATTTTAATAGTATAAATATATTTTGTTCTCATTCACAGTAAGTAATTCCTGTTATAAACATTTTAATGGCTGCACAGTATTCCATCATGTGGATAAATCACATTTATTTAACCACTTCCAGACTGACAAAACATCAAAAGCAGAATCTGTAGAAAGAAGTAAAATTACCACATAAGGAATGCCCTATACAAATATACAATATTTAAACAGTACAGAATTAGCTATGCTCTCTGTTCTTGCTTCCATATCAAATGCTCTGTAACAGGAGGGAAAATGTCATTTTCTTATAAAAGATAAAAAGCTCCACCTCACTGTCTTACCTTCCTATTCAAGATTTTAAAAAAACTCATAAAATATTCTCAAAATATGTAAGCAGTAGTTAACTTTAAGTTTCACTTTTATACAATAAAGGATGTCACTTGGAAGAACTGTATTGTCACTTGGTAGAATAGTTTCAAAATGTGTTTATCTAAAATAGTCTGAACATAAACCTGCTGGTCAATACTGAGTTGCCATGTAACACTCTATATAGATCATAAATTTTCAAAGAATTAGGATATGAGATAATGAAAACAAAATTTATATTAATTGTAACCTTTAAAAATTATACAAACTTTTTATTTTTTAATGGAGGTACTGGGACTGACCCCAGGACCTCGAGCATGCTGAGCACACGCTCTACCACTGAGCTATACCACCAACCTCCATACCAACTTTTAAACCCTAACTTTTCTCTTGTTATTCAGGAATTTATCTCCTACTGCAGCCCTGTTCATCATATGTATCAGTGTGTTAGTGAGTGGGCATTTCATCCTTCTGCAGCTAAACTGCCCCTTCCTCAGGATGCCCCTAGCCCTGTACTGTGCCTTTTTTGATAGTTCTGTAAGTGGATTTTTAAAAAAATAGTCATTTCGTAAGTCTGTTTCCTTCACTGGATTACAAATTTCTATACAGCATGATCACTGTGTTTGCAACATGGTAAGCATTCAGTATACATTTTCGTATTTCAAACTAGTACCCCCAAAATGTATAAGGGGTAAAACAAATATCTGTAGTAACTGCAATTGTTGTTTCAAGTAAATTAAGCAAAATATAAAATAATAACTTAATAGACATCCAATCTTTGATGAGAAATTTACTACTCTGTGGCAAACACCACGCTAACTGCTTATAAACACTGGTTCACACCCAATCGATGAGGTAGGCGGTATGTCATTTGCAGAGAAAAGACTGACAGTTAGGAGTTATATGAGGTGTTCAAATACCTGTTGAGGAGCTACATACTGGGCACTGGACTAGTACTGGGGACAGAGCACAGAACAGACTCTGTCTTCTCTGGAGCAGATTTTCTGGTGGAACTTGCTGAGAACATATAAATAATGTATCAGCATTCTAGATATATACATTACTTTATATACATTATAAGCTTGGACAATGTGAGTTCATCCCTGAAATGGCCCCATTCTCAGTGTTGATAAAAATTTAAGACTAAAAAGCTGAAGCTCAAACCCTGTGACTTTGTCAAGGTAAAAGTCACCCTGAAAGGTCACTGTGACTTTGCTGGCAGTATCTAGCCTTGTGAGACTCTGACTCCAAATTCAGAGTAAACAGAAGATATTCTCAAGAGAAGATTTATAAAACAATAAAAGGAATCAGATGGGAATAAGATACTATGGGATTAAAGAAATAAAAGTTAAGGCTATAGCTTTTCAAGCCAGATATTTAGCTTGCATATAAACTTCAGTTATGAGTCGGGTGAAACCACAGTAGAAAAACAGAAGTCAGAACACAGAATGGACTCTGGCCTCTTAGCAGCTAAGGGGTGGGAAAGTCTAGGGGAAGGACAAAAGTTCCACGCACTATCACAATTCACACAGCAAAGTTACGGACCCTAGCTGCTAGGCCATTTTGAATTTAATTACCTCTCTGAAGCTATACATCTAAAGAGATACCCAGTTCAAAAATGACCAAAAAAAAAAAAAAAACCACCAGTTGCAAGTCTGAGATCTACATCTGCACCAGACACTTCCTGTGAAACGCTGAAGTTGCTGGGGACTGAGGCCTCCTCTCCCTAGGTAGGGCAGTGCAATTTAATCATTAAACCTCAAGGTCTTCACAACTAATCCCTAGTGGTATGGGGTGTCTTAGGGAAAGCTACAAAGTTTCATTCAAATAAAACTGAAGTTGAACTCAGAAAGTGAGAAGATGCTAGAAAAGGAACAAGAAAAGTCATTTTAGAAGATGCTGAGTAGACAGAAAATTGCCTTTTACTCTCATTTGAAGCAGTTTTCCCAACTACCACAATATATTATCCAAGAAATCTGAGACAAAAGGCACCAAACTATTTCCAAATGCAACAACTTACAAACAGACTGACCACAGCTCTCACGTCCCCTGAAATCTCAAGCATGCCAGGGGAAGGGAGACAACACACACCACTCGGCACACAGAGCGCCTATTTGACATAAGAAGCCTTTTATTGAGACAAGGGAAATAGTGGGCTGAACATTTTACAGGGTGAAGGAAGGCTGAGGAAACCAATCTGATTTCTTTTTCCTCTATGGAAGCGTGGGCAGCCCAAATGATGAACTTAAGTCACCCCAACATTACTATTTATACGTAAGGCAATTTAAAAAGCAAGGTCTTAACCAAAAAGCCTGCAGCTAGAATTAAAAAAAATGTCTTTTGGATAAGACTAAAAATGCTAAATTGTCTATCCAAAATCTGTACAGCAGGGACCTGTTTTCAGCAGGTAAGCCTATTTACAAGTAAGATCCTCTTACTCTTGTAACATTGTCCTGTTTTAAGAGAATACATAACCCCCATCCCCTGCAGAGTTAGTCCATAAGGTGTCTGTGACCCCACAGAAACATGGCCCTATCTCTACTAGAGAACTATTTATACTGCACTGTAAATACACATATACACACCTGCCTCGCGCCTCATCCCATAAATAGGCTATAAATGCCTTGAGTGAGGAATTATGGTTCATTATATCTTCAGTGACAATTAATAGGCACTCTCTCTCTCTCTCTATATATATATATCCTTTTTGGGGGGCATGAATACTAAATGAAAATCACTTTAAACCACCATTTACTATTTCATTTCAAACCATTAGCCATCTCTAAAATAAGAACACCAAAAGCTACCAAGTTTACTGTGGTTTTCACAATATAGTGTTTCTGAATTTTTAATGTAAACAAACATTCTTAGTTTACTAATTTTCAGAGTAATGACACAAATTTAGCATCCTCCTTGGAATGGAAAATTTGCTTGGAAGTTACTTCATTCTTTTTCTCTTTTTCAAGAGTGCATCTCGTAGCGCCAGCTGGAAGATAAAGAAAAAAATACCTAAG